TGAATCATTTGGCACCATTCAAGCTTGTTGAAGCTTTGAAAGTTATATTGTAAGGGATGAACCTTTGACCTCTCAAAAGTTTGAGGTAACCAGGAGAAACCTAACTTTTATAGTTGAATGTTAATTGTATTTGTGAAATGTGATTGATAATTTAAATAAATGATATGTCAGCAATGTGTTTAATTGTGAAATGATTTTGGAAAGGAAAAACATTTATTATGCCACCTATTTGGGATTTATAAATTTACTTGTGGCATGTTGTTATAAAAGCAAAGAATTGTGATATGTGATATGTTGAATGTGTGGAGTCACTAAATATGAGATAATTTGTCATGGATTGATTCTTGAAATGTATATTATGTGAAAAATGTGCATAGCATAATTATTAGCGGAGTTCGCCTAGGGAGATGAGTAGATTGGTTTAAATCCACGTGGTATTAGTAGTGAACATTGGAATCGAAATCTTGCCTTAGCACTAACCATTAAAATTGAGAGATAGCCCTTGTCCTATAGTTAATTTGGGATTATCCCACTTATTCTACGAGGAACTTAAATCTAACTAGTCTCCACCAGTTCATGAGGAGGCTGGATTAGGGGTATAACACCCCATGGTTGATAGTATTGGGGGAATTGAATTACATAAGTGAGTGAGTTTACCCTGGCTCAGTAGCTGCTCATAAGTAGTAGGCTAGGTTAGTCCATGAGGGACGTAACTACATGATAGCCACCGATTTCATGTCAAAGATAACAAAAGGGTATAAGGTTGGTATATGATCATGCATATAAGACCGGCCACATAGTTATTAATTTTATAGTCTAGCATGTGTTAGGGGTGCATGGTTATTATTATTGTGACCCCGTGTTGTGCTTTGTGAAATATCATGATATTGTGTGTTATGGGTCCAGTCACATGGTTGTTAGTTCTATGAATCATGGCTAAGTGTTTATATGTGATATCTGTGTATTTGCCTAATTGCATCTATTTACAATTAATATACAACTATATAGGTTAGGTGAAACTTGGTTACTGAGTAGTTGTACTCACCTTTCAATTCTCAATATTTATAGGACCTAACTCATCAGATCCGAGTCAGAGAAAACAACAGAAGCTTAGGATTGTGGAGTAATCCTCTTTATGCCTCTTTTTGTTGTTTTCATGTGTATTTATTAATGTAATTGCCAACTAGGATCATTTGATATGATTTATGCACTACTTATATGATTTTGTGTATAACTTGTATATTTTGTGACTTGGGTTAGTGAGTTTTAGTTGTAAACCTGTGAATAGGGTCAAAATACTTGTGCAAGTAGAGACATATGTATTTTGAAAGATTTGGGATGAAATTGATGTATTTAAGCACTTTGCTCCCCTTTGTGTTTTGAGAAAATTAGGGTTGAGTGGTGGTTTTATGATAAATGTGTTTCAAATTGTGTATGGTGTGTTTCACGGGTCCGTTAGAATCTATTGAGTGTGGTCGGATGGTCGGTGTGAGCTATTTGGCACATGTGGTTGAGGTAGGACACGCATTTGAGAAATTTTGTGAAAAAGTGATCAAAATAGATTTTGATGTTCAACTTTTTATAGAAAAAGAATTTGAGTGTGAAACTGGTGCCATTAGTTAGAGCTAGGAGAAAGCTCCATATAGACACTGAAACCATCTCAATCGAACATTGGACAGAGATTTGGGACGCGTTAAAAGTTCACTCCTTGTGTTGTCAAATGACAGCACTAATGCTGTCAAATTTGTGCAATGCTTCGCAACGCATGACACAGAGAAGACAAGCCACGATGCACATGTCACAAGCCATGGTGCACGTGTCACTTTTTGCATAAATATCTGTTTTGAGTCTTAAAACTCATTGTTCTAGGTCCCAATTAATTTTCAAGCTTCCGCATGACTTTTAAAACTCTGATTTGAGCTTATTAAATAATATTTGAGATTTGAAATGTTGAAATTAGGATTCCTTTTGAAAAATGATTTGAGAAATTTTCTTTTTATGAAATTTTACATTTTGATAATCCTTTAAGGGTTAACCTGATTGCCATGATTTAGAGTTAAACGTAGTTAAGTAAGGGAAACCTTACACTAAGCGCTAATGGTACTGCCGTTAAGAACTAACATTCTGATTCAATCCCATATTTTAAATCAAATATGCATGGATCGATAAAATCAATATACTATCTCTTTTCAACATTCCTCATCATGTTCAGCACAAATGAATTCATCTGTATATATCTCATACATGAATCATGATAGTTAATTCATTCTTTAAACATAAAATCAACATTTTTAATATAACAAATACTTTTAGATATTCAATTGAAAGATAAATCTAACAGGTTCTATAAAACATAGTATAACAAAAATATTTTCATATATGACAATTGATAAGAAAATTAAGATTATGAACCAAAATAAATAAATAAATACATAAGTAAATAAATTAAAATATTCCATCGTTTGTTCTTGCAGAATAAAAATAGTTATGTAAATAAAAGATAGGGCACATGAATATGCTAAACCAATATTTTTATGAAAATGAATTTGATAACGAGTCATTTGGACACTATTCACTTATTTATAGTACATTCAAAGCTCAAAACTCACTCCTTACAATTCTGATTATGTTTCCCTTCTTCCAAATACCCTAGAATATATAATAGTATTTTAATGGATTTTATTTTATTTATTTGTTTAACCAATAAAATCTCTTTCTAAAAAAATACATTCAACCAAATTAACAATAATAACTTGAAAATTTTAGAAATATAATTCACACATAAGGGTTTCTACATAACATTCAACCATAATTAACTAATCAATTAAAATGTAATCTCTCTTTGAATTGTTTGTTAAACACCTACCGTATAACATTTCAAGCCATTCAATAAAAATTTATAACCTTTCTTTCTCTTGCCCAACAAATTTCAATTATCCAAATATAACTTCTAAAATGATAATATATCTTATAAATTATAAGCCATATAACTAAATAATTCAAAACTCAGATAAGATTTCATTAACTTCCTAGATAAAATCCTTTACAAAGCTCAATTTAAATTAACAAATTAACAATATCCAAATCCAATCATTCTTCCCGTGCAATTAACAAAGGTTGCACCTAATATATATGTATATATATATCAATCAAAATTCTCCTAATAAATATTTTATCAAACATCTTACGTTCATTTAATCTTAAACTAATGTCTAAGTTCTTCCTCCTCAATTCCATTTTCTAAAAATTCTCTAATATAGATACATAAATTAGTTAGCTTCCCGAGTTCTATTCCATTAACAGATAAATAAATCTTAACTCAAAGAAAATTAAATCTTCATCTCCGCCATACTCATGGCGGCAAACAGAGGAAAGAATAAATCACAATCTCAGTTATTTAGAACACACACACACAGCGATCAAACCAGAGGAAGGAAGAGAGTCGGACGTACTTGAAGCAAGAGAAGATGATGATGAAAGTCCCGATGACAGAGGCAGAGGAAGAGCGATGGTGGTGCAAGGGAAGGGGAAATGGAGGCCGAGCACACATCTAGAGACCACTGTTGACACAGAGCAAAGAACAAAGACAGGGGAGAAGAATCCGACACTGTAACATCCTAGAGGCTGAACGCAACGGCGAGGAGGCACAGCTCAATCAGCAATGACAGGGGCAGAGAAGGAGGAGGAGTCGAAGACCTCAAAAGCGGCGAACCCACGGCGGAAACTGACTGACGACGGGCTGGCAGTAGAGGACGACGGACTAGCAGCAGGGAACGACAGAGGAGGTGAACGGAGGAAGGGAATCCATCAACGATGAGATTTGATGATTGAGGCTCCCTCCCTCTCTTTCTCTCTATCGCTCTCTCTCTCTACAGACTGGAAAAAGAATCAGAAAATGAAGCTTCTCACTCTCTCTCGTAACTTTTGGTGTTCGAATGGCAGAGAAGAGAGAAAAATATTTGATCCTGATGACAAATTGGGAAAATTACAAGACATGGCACAGGAAAAATTACAAAGAAAGGGCATAAAATTTGTCTACAATTTAAAACAAAATAAAACCTAAATTTTTTTAATAAAATTCAAACTTCGAATCTTTAAAAAAATTTACTAAAATAGATTTCACTAAACTATCACTTTTGACTTGTTATAAATTTAATTTAACTAAAATACTAATTAAAGGAATTTTTTTTAATTTTTAATTTAAAATTTAAGGTCATTACATTTTAACTTCAATATTTCTTACATATCACATCAAATATTCTACTGAGTATACATAACTTTCATAATTATAATATTTGTTGCAATATTCAAGTTAAACTTACAATAATTTCTCAATCAGCATTCTTCATAAAATTTTAGTTAAATTCATGAATAATTAGCACTCACATCAAGTATGACTTCATAAAGGTTAATGAAATTTTAAAAAATTTATAACTAAACAAAATTCCTCCTAACCCAAGAGAAAATTCTAACCCCAAAACTTAAGATTGCTCAGCAAGCAAGGTTACCATTGTGCCACTAATGATTTTGATTAATTTCATTTTAAAATAATAATATTAATAATAATTTTAATATTCTTAAAAACTTATAATAAATTTTATTTTTACTCAAATTCCCAGGTCATTACAATTTATTTTGTCATTTTTGGGAAAGACCATAACTTAAACTGTAACAACCAAAATTTTTTTATTTGAACAAAATTTCCTTTCAAAGGATATTTTATTAAAATAAGTTTTTTTTTGCAACTTTGATTTTATTTTATTTTATTTTAGATTATAGGAAATTTTGGGTCCTTTTTGTAATTTTTGTTAGGTTTTTTTTTTTTTTTTTGCTTTTCTGATGCTTTTCTTGTAATTTTTCCAAACTTCCTTATCTGATGGTATTTCTTCGCGTGAAGGAAAGAAAAGAACAGAGCATTCACGTTTGTCCTTCACCAACCTTGAGTTCTCTCTTCTCATCACCATAAAACTCCATCTCTTCACCTTCAGCTTGCTCTTCCTCTCACTGATGGCTAAACTGGTGCGTCTTGGCAGCTAGAAGTGGCTCACTAGAATCTGTTCTTCCTTTGTTGTCATCTTTTGCTTATCCATCTAGGTAGAACATCCGTGTGCGTGTGCTTGTGTGTAGCTTCAATCCTTCTTGCTCTCTATCTGCTGAATGTTTTATATAGGGGTACGATAAGCTAAATTTTTCTCTTTTTGTTGTCACGATTTCTGGTTTCCGCCTTCCTTATTTGAGTTGCAGAACAGAGCTTGCTTCCTTCACCAATCTCGACCACATGCTGATCTTGAACTGTCATCGCTGTACTGTAGTTTGAGGTAAATCGTTGATCCTCTCTTCTCCTCGCTACAAAACTCGTTCATTATCTTCCTCTTCGCTGTTCGTCTGTGTTTTTTTGGTGATGAGCGGCATTTTCGTTCTATTTGGTGACTAACAAAAGGGGTGTAAGCACGCATATTCAACCTTAGTTTTTCTTTTTCCTTTATTGCTAGGCACCGTGTGTGTTTGTAAAGAAAGCTCAAGTTATATATATATATACACACACACATATACATATACATATAAATGCTGGTTCTGCTTCTTCCTCACGTGGAGCAACTAGGTTGAATTCTACCTTTGTCTTTTGGTGTAGTCTATGAACTAAGGAGAGGCTATTGTTTTTGCACTTCTATTCAAGGTTAGATGGCGATCCTTTCTTCTCCTTTGAATTTATAGGCAGCGTGAATAATCCTTTCTCATCCCCCTAGCCGAAGAATGTGTCTCTGCTCCTCCTTATGTCTGTTATAATTTTGAGGAAATTGATTTGTACTTTAAGTGGGTGGTTGTAGTTTGGAGATGAGCTGAATGGTGATAATAAAGCTATTGTTAAAGGATAATTAAATTATTGGATGATTATTGTGAACCAAATTTTTGATATACTCACAGTATTTGCAAGTATTCTTGAAAGAAGAAGTTAATGGGAATAGAATTATTAAAATTTTATTAAGCTTGGAAAAAAGTTGCATTAATGGTTGTGCTTGAATGTGCCTAGTGTTGTTGACTACTTAATAGAGCTTGTTGAAGGGTTTGGTGAGAATTTAAGGGGTTATTGAGAAATTTAATGAATAATTGAAGAAATTAAATGTTAATTTCACTTGCTTATATTAAGAAATGAAATCATAATGACATAAAATGTAGTGGTTTACATGCTAGATTAAATTGGAGCATCATTGGAGTAAGTAAGAAATTAAGAGAGTCTGACCATAAGATTTTTGAGAATTCAGGTGAGTGGATAGCGTTTCAAATAAATTTTTAGTAAAGTGTTTATAAGTCTCCTTCATTTAAATTGTACTATTATTCCTTTATAAATTGTACAAATACTCTTGTAATTCTATTTTTTTTCTAACAATTGTTTTGTTATTGAAAATGCATTGATTTTATTGATTTATATTGCTGATAAGTAATAATTAAAATGGATACATGATAAATGGTATTGTTTCTCAAAAGTAGTTTAATTATTTAATTCTATGTTGATAATTTTTTATGCAATTATTCGTGTATGAAGGAAATAAAAATAAATCTGAGCAATGGAAAATGATAGTTGAACAGTGTTTCTAAATGATAATTTTGATAATGCTTTCTTGCTCCATACATGCTTGGTTTTAATTAAAGGGAAACTGAGTTCAGAACACTGGTTGCTAACGGCAGTTTCGTTAGCCCTTGGAGTGCCATGATACACCTAGCTAGCAGGGTGTTTGTAGGAGGTGCTAACCCCGTACGCAGGTCAACACACGTGGAACGGAAGGATGTATATTCGTGAGCATCGTACTCATACTTGTTTTGTGGGCTACATGCCTATGCTTGTTTCATGGCTTTTAAACCCGGCTTGTTGGTGATTTACCCTCGTGGACTGTGTGTTCACGCTTGTTGGTTACTTATGCTCGTGGACTATGTGTCCACGCTTGTTAATCATTTTGATTAAGTCCTGCTAAAATGTGAAATTTTGAGAATTATTATTTTTAAATTTATTCTAATAAATAAATTATTGTTTAATTATATATGATTTTATATGATAAATTTCCTCCTAGATTGGATTTTAAAAAAATGTTTTATATTAGTTACTTATAGATATTTCCTTGATTATATCATCATTCGAATTCTTTTTTTTTTGTATATTTTTATTTTATTGTATGATTCTTGATAACCTATCAAAAATTTCAAAATTATTGGTTTATTCCACAGTTATGTTGTTGAGTAACTTTGTCATTTATTGGTTGTTTATGTGACTTAATATTCCATTGATTCATTTTTAACTAAATTAATTAATTACTACTTTTACGTGTTTTATCTATAACTTTGATCGGGAAGCTACTCATTGAAAATTTCTTTGGTCTCAGATAACATAATTGACCTTGCACCTCTTGCTAATCATTGAGGGGCTTTATTGCTTTTGGATGACGAAAACACACTTCAATCATTTATTTTAATGTAAATATTCATTATATTATGCAATGATAATTAGTGCTCCATGTATGCCGTAATTAGGTCCTAATTTTATTTTGCTGATATATAATCTGTTGTTGTGGAGCTGATCTCCTTTACTGGATTGATTAGTTGGTTTAGATGTTGTAGGAATTTTGGGAGGTCTAAATTACAGGGGAGATTTCGCCAAAATTTTTACAAACACTTAAGATTTTACAAAGCTTATAAACACAAATAAAAATTATATATTGATAATTTAGCTTAATTTTGATTAATTAAGGCTTATAGAATGTGAGGTTATCTCATATTTCATGCCAGTCATAACTTTAGAATTGAGGTGGACATAAACAATCTTAAATGAGCAGGAGATATTTATATTTAAGTTTCTTGTTTTTGTTTTTGTTGTTTTTTTATAAACAGATTTAACAAACAATCTCAAATGAGTAAGACTTAAGTTTCATTCATGAGATGTTTAACTAAAGTTTCACACGTGTACACTCACACTCACTCTTGAAAATATGTCTATTTTAACCTTTAAGGTTAAACAATTCAAATACAATACGTTATGCAAGACTTTACAATAATTTTAATAATTAACCCATAAATACATATATGCCATTATTTTTTTATATAACAATCTAGATTTGGATTATGGTTTACCAAACAGCATCACATGTAATCTTTTTACGTACAAAGGGAGCATTAAAAAAACAAAATTCCCCAACCCCACGCCCCCCGAATCAACAATGAGAACATGATGAAGTTACCTTTTCTTTTAAAAACATAAATAAATATGATGAAGTTTCTTGAAAGAACTAACTATCACACAACGGAAACGAGTGGTGCTTTTGTTGTTTGTTTTGCTACATAAAAGGGCAAAGCCCAACAGAAAACTAAATAGGATGGGATTGTAATCCCAAATGTTCAGCGTCCACAAGGTCCCAGAGTGGTGCTCGTGCCAATAAACTTGACTGGTCATTGATAGGAAACAATTGGCTTTAATTAGCGAAGCCCAATACAACAAATAGTCATTTCTGAATCATGAAATTGCTGTAGTCAAAACACCAAATTAGTGGTGCTGGAATAATGGACGAAGAAGCAAGGCCCAGAGCAGGTCAAATTATCATAATGTGATAGAATCAATCAATTTATTATAATTAACTTTTAATATTTTGTCATAAATTTTATATATTATAAGTATTTTATTATCTTAATTGATTTTATCATGTTAAATAAATTGTTGCCTCTTATAAAAGGAAAAAAAAAACAAAATGAGGTCCTAGACTATTGAGATTAATCTCTCAATCTTATGAATCAAGTTTGGTTTTGTTCAACCTCAAATTAAACTTGGATCAAAACAGACTATGGGTTGTCTAATGTAGTTCTTTTCATAAAAGACATTAGACTAAAGTCCTACCTTGTTTGTCCTTTTTGCAGCCCTAGTCAATATAATGTTTATTTGTGAAAAATTGTATGATGGAAACAAAGTTATGAGAGGATTAGAAAATTTGAAAGGATTGGCTTTTGCAGAATTAAGAATTTTTTTACACATTAATTAATTAATTTTTTTAAAAAAGTATGACGTATAATACAAAAACATAAATATGTAATATTAAATTTGAAAGGAATGGCCTTTGCTGATGAGCTCCAAACACAAGTCACCCTAATTTTTTTATTACATATTAATAGATATATAGATATATATAATGATGAAAATTTATGAATATTTTATATTGAACCTTATTTTCCTATTTATTAAGGGCATTGATTAGACACATGAAGAATTAAAATCAAACGAATGAGCAACCATTACTAAGTCTTTACTCCATAATGACTTGTAAGTTTGTAAGTAAATGTTAGTATGTGAGAAGACTCGTGAAAGACTTGTAAGTCAATGTTTATTTAAAAAAAAAGAATGATAGTTAGGCCCTTGAATACTAAATTAATTACAATTAATTGAAGAAGGTCATTTTAATTTAAAAGAGAGTTAATTTTTTTCATTTTCCTTAACATTTTAATTTCATTTCACTCCCCTTAGTGTGCAATGAAGTTTCAGATTTTAGGAGGTTTTTTTTTAATTATGCTTGGTTAAGGGTCTAGAACAAAATTTTTCTTTTTATATCTTAAATCTATGTGTGTATATATTGTCGTTATATTTAATAATATCTTTTCTTTCTTTGTTTGTTTGGTAACTTTTGTAATGATGAAATATTTTTTTTTCAATTGCATTTTTCTTGTTTTAAAGATTTAAAGGTTAAAGGTTAAAGGATAAAAATATCTAGCAACTTTTTTTCAAGAACACCCAATATCCTCAAGTGAATAAAGGTGCATGCTAGAGTACCCATGAACTTGTTTTAATGAGTGTAGTAATCTCCATCCCATTAAATTTGACTAACATCTATTAACATTGGCCATTGAAAAAAGAAAGCAAATATAAGGTGAAAAAATATCCAAAACTTTTCTCTAGAAGTTTCTGGAATTTTTAAGTTAACAATGGTTCATGGATATCCATTAACTTTATAAAATAGGCCAACATTCCCTAATCTGTTAAGTTCTATTCTTAGAACTTCATGGCCAATGTCAAGTTATTTTAACAAATTGGGGAATATTAGAATTGATAATTTGGATCAAGCTCAACATGGCCAGCCTGAATAAGCTTGGAAAATCTTAGGGCTAGGCTTGAAAGTTTATGAGACTTTCTTTACTTTGGTCTTATTCAGCTAGCCTAAATATAAATAAGCTTGAAGAAATCTAGACCAAGTCTAAATACCCAAATTTTTTTATTATTAATAAAATTAAAATTAGATAAAATTAAAAGTCTTACTTTTTTAAGATAAAAATTGAAATTAACTAAAAAATTAAAAATAAAATAAAATAATATTAAACAATTTGGGTATTCAGACTAGTCTGATTAAGCCCAAAAGTCCAAGGTGTTAGAGTTAGGCTTAGCTCTCTTCTAAAAAGAAATTAATGCAAGCCGTCACTACCAAAAAAAAAAGATTTTCAGCGACGACTCTAAAAAGTCACCGCTGATTGTCAGACTTTCAGCGGCAACAAGTGTATGTCACCGCAGAAAGTCACACTTCTAGCGGCGACTTTTATTATCGCCGCTGAAATTTGAGAATCAACGGTGACTTTTTAATGTCGCTGCTGATTATCAATATATTTTAAAATATGTTATAATTTTTTTAAAAAACTTATGTTGTAAGTTTTAACAGTGACTTTTACTGTCACCGTTGAAAGTTGAGAATTAGTGATAACTTTTTAGTATCGTACCTGATTGTCAACATATTTTAAAATATGTTATAATTTTTTTAAAAAACTTATGTTTTAAGTTGTAGTGGCGACATACAAGTCGTCGCTGAAAGTTGAGAATCAGCATTGACTTTTTAGTATCACTGTTGATTGTCAACATATTTTAAATGTGTTATAATTTTTTTAAAATCTTATATTGTAAGTTTCAGTGGCGACATATAAGTCACTACTAAAAGTTGAGAATTAGCGGTGACTTTTTAGTGTCGCCGCTGAAAATAAAACTTTTAGCGGCGACTTTGATGTCATTGTTGAAAGTTTGATTTTGTATTATCATCATAATTTTTTATTTTTATTTCTCTAATATTTAACATTTTAAGACATTAATTTTATTGTATTATTGTAATTTTATAATGAATATATAAAATAAGATAATGAGTTTTCATTTAATATATTCTATGGTTAAATTGTAACTTTAAAATAATGTTAGGTATTATTTAATGCTAATGAGCTAAAGTAAAGAATTAAGCCAAACCATATTATTTTACATGTGTATTTGTATTAAAAAATTTACAACTAAGGTTAAGATTCAATAGAGATTAGCAAACTAAGGTTAGAAGAAAAGTCAGTAAATATAATATAATTTATGTTTGGATATTTTTTTTAGAAGTCTGTTAGATAAACTAAAATTTACTTGGATAATTTTATTCAAAAGCCAGTTGAGATGTTTAATGGCCAAAATAAGAATGAAATTTTAATATATATTTTTTGACTAATTAATAACTAAAAAAAATTAAATTTAAAAATTATAACTAATAAGTAAAAAATCTTAAATATTCAAGATAGAAGAGAAGAGAGAGAAAGCATAAGTCATCGGATCAATGTAGAAGTCAATAACACTACTTATTTAGAATAATTAAATATGTGATACTTAAATTTATTTATTCATAGAATAATATTTCATCTAATCTAATTTTCAATTTAAATTCTATATTTAACACCAGTAACTTTAAAACTTGATGCTAGTTTAGAAATATAAATAATTATAAATTAATGTATATCATAAGCATTTTTACTATTTATTCTTAGATATTTTTATATTTAATTATAAATATGAATATTAAAATAAATAATATAACAACCTTAAGAAGGAAAAAATTAAAATAAATAACACAAATGATATTGTATCAATTATATTTATAGTTTACTTTAAACAAAATAAATAATATAATTTTTAATTTTATAAATTAAAAGAATTAAATTGAAGTATTTAAGGATAGT